TACAGATGGCTTCTACCTCTTCTGGTTCCAGTTCAAATATTTTGTTCTTGAAGGCTCACTCCTTTTTCAAGATGAAGCGGTAATGTAGTGGAAAATAAGAGTTCCTTGAACCAGAATATTTCTGGGGAATGTTATAATATATGAAGGGGAGGAAATATAGACGATACTCCCTACCCTTTTCTGAAACACCTGGAGTGCACACTGTTTCTTCTTCTGCTGCTGCTGCTGTTGGCTTACTGCTGGGTTTCATACATCAACTTGTCAGGGCCCAGGGAGGGAGGAGGAATAAATGGAAGGAAAATAAGGAAATCATTCATGGTCAAGAAAGCAGTGTGCATCGTATTAAAGAACTGCTCAGCCTGCTGGAAATCTTAACACTTTTCCATTTTTGGTCTTGTCTGCCATCTCCCCCAGTTTCTTTGAGAAAAGCAGGAGAAGAAGGGAAAAAATGGGGTTACCTAAGTAAGAGCCTTTAAGCTTTCAAAATTTTACCATGTGGTTGGGTGGAGTTTGGGGATGATTAAAGCCATGGCCTGTCTAAATTAGCAATCAAATGCTGAAAGTACATAAATAACTTAGTGTTGTCTATGGAGATTCTTAGTCAATCCAGGTCATGGTTGTCCCAAAGGTGCTTTTTTCAAGAGGCAACTGGACTTTCTGGTTTTTCTTTGAAGACGTTTCGCTTCTCATCCAGCTCTTAGTGTTGTGTCATCCTCACTTGTCATTGTGTAAGAAATTATGAGCTGGGATAGCCATAACAACAAGTCAGCCAATGGGAACTGTTTGGTGACTAAGAAACAGGATCTGTTGTGAGCCAGGGGAGACACTGAGTTCTGGTTCTGGCTTATGCTGCATGGGTATTGTATACATGCATCATGCTTTATATTACTGTATATAAATAAGTTTCTTTTATACATGAATCCTGCTGAATTGTTTACTTGTGTGCTGGTTGGATTGCTGCAAACTCTAACATTACTCCACAGCACGGAGGAGATGGGAACTTTAGAAATTGCCAATAGTACCAAGTTCATTGCTAAACTTCTTACAAAATAAGCCGCATAACCACTCTTATATTCTTTGGTTCAAATAGACACTGCAGACTATATTTGAAGAGAGACTGCATAGATATTTTAAAAATGCAAATGCCACATTAGGCTGTTCTTGGCAGGAGTAGAAATGGATCCTCAAAAAACAAATGCCAGGGAAGGGGTTTTCCTCAGCAGCAAAGCATCAGGAAAGGAAGGATTTAAATCACCCGACATCCTTTCGCTTATTCCAGATAGGCAGAAAGAGTTTAGAAGCGTTGCTTTTCATTTGAAGGGAAAGGTTTTGCCATCCGTGTTTCAATTTGAAGGCCTCTGTCAGAAATACGTCTGGATGACAGCCTACATTGTAATTAAGCACCAATGGAAGTGAACATTTCCAAACACTAGGGGAGCAAGGAACTCTTGCATTAATGTCCAGCTTAATGTCCAGTGTTCAAAGTGGTTCACTCCATGAGATGCCAATAAGGAATCTTCTACGATAGACTTCCCCAACCTTTGCAGACCAGTTGGGGATGGAGAGGGGATAGTTCTGCATAAGTGGCCGGCAAGTGCGCACACAGTGGTGGAATTCAACATTTTTTACTACCGATTCTGTGGGCATGGCTTGGTGGGCGTGGCAGGGGAAGGATACTGTAAAATATCCATTCCTTCCCCAATCCAGGGGAAAGTTACTGCAAAATCCCCATTTCCTCCTGATCAGCTGGGATTTGGGAGGCAGAGAATAGATGGGGGTAGGGTCAATTAGAGGTGGTATTTACTGGTTCTCCGAACTACTCAAAATTTCTGCTACCGGTTCTCCAGAACTTGTCAGAACCTGCTGAATACCACCTCTGGCGCACACGTGCACAGCTCTAGTGTGAGCGGCATGCACGCATGTCCACTGCTCATGCAAATAGAGCTTTGCATGCAAGTGATTGGCCACCGCTCACGCTAGTGGGGAAGATTGCTTGCTCATCTGTTTTCATGGCCCCTTTGCAAACAGATTATGGCCCACTAGTGGGCCACAGCACTCCTGTTCTACAAAGCACTTTAAGATTTGTTCGAAAATGTAAAAGGATCCCTTGCCTTGTTCTGTTCTGCCACAGACTTACCATCTAATCAACAGGTTCCTGTAGTGGGGTGGGCGGTGGGTGGGAAGGAAATGTAGATATATCATAATATAATCAAGTACATTCTGATAGAAACCAACAGATACTGAGGTAGATCTTAAAAGGCAGAGTGAGATGGAATGGACCAGCTCACGAGTGACAAAACAAAACAAAACAAAACCACCCTTGATTTATGAAGCAACTCACACAAAAGTAATGGGTTAAAACATTTGTAGATTGAGAAACTGTAACTTGAAGAGCAAAGAAGACATTTTAAAAAAACGCAAATTAGAAATACTTAAAAGCCAATAACAAATTGAATTGTTTACAGATAAGGAAAAATAATAATTAGTAAATAGAAAAGAAGGGAACTGTGCAATCAAATTCCATGAATGGAAAATATAAGGCAAACACAGAATTGGACAAAAGAGACCTTGACTGAGAAAGCAAGGGAGACATAAGGTAAAGGTTCCCCTCGCACATATGTGCTAGTCGTTCCCGACTCTAGGGGGCAGTTCTCATCTCCATTTCAAAGCTGAAGAGCCAGGGCTGTCCGAAGATGTCTCCGTGGTCATGTGACCGGCATGACTACGTGCCAAAGGCGCATGGAATGCTGTTACCTTCCCACCAAATGTAGTCCCTATTTTTCTACTTGCATTTTTTACGTGCTTTCAACCTGCTAGGCTGGCAGAAGCTGGGACAAGTAATGGGAGCTCACCCTGTTACACGGCACTAGGGATTCAAACCACTGAACTGCCAACCTTTTGATCGACAAGCTCAGCGTCTTAGCCACTGAGCCACCGCATCATACAATGTATTAAAACAACTGAATCTAAATGAGATCGAAGAGTGCACCAAGAACTGAAAGATATATAGCTATGATGATAGATAGATAGATAGATAGACAGACAGACAGACAGACCCATAGATATGCATATAAACACACAATTATTAAAAATATATCAAATAAACATGTGTTCATATAATTTCTCATATGAAGACTTGCACTTTTGTATAAATAGGATGTAGATGTTTACACAAGAGTTTCCTAAGTCTTAACTTAGCTTGTTTATGGATAATAATGAAACCAAATTACTTAAATGGAAGAGAGCTGAGGCTTTATTTAATAATTACATATTAAAGTGCTTTCCATCATAATCTCTTGGGAAAAAAATTATCTCCTTGAACAGTGCTGCTACTATGTTACAGCCATATGCTATCATTCAGTTCTACTTAGTATGAGTTAAGCCAGATCTATATCTACGTTAAATTCAGTTGGAATTGCTTGTCAAATTGTGGTTCCTGCTAATTTAATGTCTCTTTTGAAGTAAAGTTTGCATATCCATTTGGCACAAATTCTCTAACCCAGTAATTTTGTTAATATTTACTCAGTAAGTAATCTTTACTTACTTAGTAAGAATTGCAGTCTTACAATTATAATAATTGACAACAACAACAACAAAAAAAAACAACTTAGTTTAAATAGGGATCTCTGGCCATGCTAAATCTTGGTCTTGATCTAAAGTCATTATTGCTTTCATTATTCTGATTGTTTGCTCCTTGGTTTTAATATGATTTAGACTGAATTTAGAATTTTGGTAGCCATGTATAGGATTGTGCTGTCAAAATCTGCAAATTGGCTTTAAATGTGTAATTGAGATTGAATGATTGTATCCAATGTATTAAATATAATTTGGGTATTACTTATAAAAACAGCTGTAATTGGAGCCAAAAGTTCAGTGTCCAATGTGACATTTAGAGTATGAAATAGATATTACTAATGCAAAACATGATAATGTTAATTAAGATTTTTTCACATCATATTGAGGTAAAAATTGCAGTGATTTGACATTTTTTTCCAGTTGGATAGAGGGTAGTATGTCAACTTAAAATATTATTTCTAAGTATATAATTACTATTAACCTTCCAGATAACTTGTAGTTTTGTGTTTTATGCCATGAGTCATTATTAGATCTTTTTCAATATTTGCTACAAGTTTAAACTACTAGTGCTTGCTTGTGTTTAGAGCTCTCCAATCACAAACTCTCTAGTACAAGGGTGTCAAACTCGCTGTGTCACATTGCCGTCACGTGACATTTCATGACGGTTTTCCCATTTGTGGAGCTGGGGTGGGCGTGGCGTGTGCATGACGCATCCGACCACGGGCCGCCAGTTTGACACCCCTGCTGTCTGGTATATTTCCTTATTTGTCTTTAAAGTAGTATGTCTCTATGTTTCCCCCAAGGAAGATCCTTTTTTTGAAGGGGCTGTTAAGTCTGTAGTAACAGTCTCTAGGTTTAGAGCTTTTAAGCACCTGGACCCACAAATCTAGAATCAGCTTCTTTCATGTATCTCTATAATTTAATAGCTTTTAAAAGGGTTTAATAGGTTAACATAGGGTGTGATTGTTCTACTCTGTTTGCTGATAGTTCTAGTTTATATCTGTTCTAAACTATTACAGATGTACAAATATATAGATCACCTCATATTATTTTAGGGCATTTTAAAAAATGCACTCTTTCTGTATTGATTGTTGTAATGTTTGGTTTTGAGCTTCTGGCCTAAAGTTATTTGATGGGTTTATAATAATGGTATTTTTGTTTTGTTGGACTTTTCACCACACCTTAATAGGTGTATGTAATAGCAATTAATAAAATTAGTTGTTGGAGTAAAGATTGATGGTCTAGGGAAGGTGAGGAAGTTGCAAAATGATCAGTCTTGGCAATAGGCAGCTCTTCCAGCACTATTTATAAAATGAGGCTATAATGTTTTAAGACTGATATTCTGAATTGCAAGACCTCACAAGACAAAGTGGAACGATTTTGGATTAAAAATTGAACTTAAGTATTTTGTTAATTTGTTTCAGATCCTTTCTTAAAAACATACAATCTGTAAGCAGATTGTAGGCAGAATGCTACTACAAAAGACAGATAATGAAAGATCCAGACTGCTGCTGGGTGGTCTCTCTTCCAAACAGCACAATGTGTGTGTTTACATCAGCTGAAGGATTACTGTGAACGCAGAAAGTGAAGAGAATGAGGAATGTTGACTTCCATATCTGTCCTTTCAGTTCAGCCATGTGTGAGTCAGGTATGGCATGTTTGATTTTTTGGGGGGTAGGCCCTCATTTATCATTAGAACCGACAAGAGATAAGGTCTCTAAAGTCTGGACTATCTTTTTGATGTGTGCCAGTCCAAAGTTTAATGGATGAGTAAAAGCCTGAAAAAAAATTAAACCTCATCATTCTCTCTCCCCTGTCACTATATATATATTTGTTTTAGCCATGTAGGTGCATAGTTATATGCTGAGACAACCATTATTCAAGTGGGTGGCTTGTTGAGAAATCTCTGTTGCCGCAAGTGATTACATGGCTTATTTTTAGATCTACATTTTGTTTGCACTAAAGGAAGGGGTAAAAAAGAGGACAGTGTTTATTTAGAATCAGGTTTATCTGGGGTCATCTATCTAAGTATTTATGTTTTGCCTACAGTTAGGGAAAGTTGACAATATTGTTTACTAATTTCTGAAATCTACACATCAGCATATGTGTGGACTTTTAAACCACCAAGACAAACCGGCAAAGTGCTGCTAGCAGTTTGCAAGGAATTCTGCCTAGTTGTTGGAGCATCTAAGTTCAGCTTTAAATTCACTTTGAATCATAACACCACTGTTACAACTTATTTAAAAAGGGATTGCCCTGACATTACCTCTCTCGAACTGTATGAAGAGAATAAAAAGCATAAAGTGGGATAAAGAAATGCCGTTCCCACGTGCTAAATCATTGAGACGCTTGATTTTTAGGGTTGGAAAGAAGGATGCCAAGGTAAGCCAAAGCCAACCCTGACCCAGTGAAGGTGCCACATGAATGCTATTTGGCTAGTTGGCATTTATAATTTACGCTGGTGCCTTGGGTTTGTGTGTTTTCTCCACTGTATTTAAAGAAAACACATCTAACAACTGGATATCCATGCAAAATAAACCACTTTTGCACTTCTTTTTTTTCTTTTTCCATGGACTCCTTAGTTAGTCTCTTCTTGATAGTTCTGTTTGCTGACTCCACTGACACTTTTGGCATAACTTGTCTTTCTCCATCTACTCAGTGACCTCAGAAAAGGCCTTGTGAGGACAGACATTGCTTAGAAAACAGGCTGTGTATATCTACATACAGTATTTGAGAAGTGGAGGAAGGTGAACATTTATTCTCTACTCATAATTTTATGATATTGTTTCCTGATTGCTTATTTGTACCCTATGACTATTATTAAGTGTTGTACCTTATGATTCTTGATGAACGTATCTTTTCCTTGGAGCGTATGCACCAAGACAAATTCCTTGTGTATCCAATCACACTTGGCCAATAAAAAATTCTATTCTATTCTATAACAAAACAGCATTGCCAACATGCAAAGAGACCAGTGAGAGAAATTCTGAAGCGGTTTAGTGTAACTTTGCTATGAAACATCATATCTCAATAGATCCACAAGGGACTGTGGGGACATTTTCAAGAGATCACTTTAAATCCCTTATTATGCCTGTGCTTAGGGACGTTATGTATGCAAATTATTGTGTATATGCATTCATCCATACTGTCATTTCTTCATATGCTCTCATTATACAGTTAAAGTTTACAATGTCATGTTGTTAGGAAATTTTGGACTGCCTGCGGCTTGTGGGAATTGGAATGCAAAACATCTGAGATGCATCACATTGGAGAAGGCTGGTATTAGGAACCAAATAACTTCAATTATAGATTCTGATTTGTCTACCACGTTTTTGTCTACCACATTTCAGTTCAGATCTCTCTCTCTCTCTCACTTTGAAATCCAAATTAAGGGAAATGATTTATCTTGAGATGCTTCTATTTTCACCTTAAATGTTTTTCAAGTGACATGCTTGAAAATAAGCTGTTACCCAGGCTTTATACCTTTTTAACTCAGAGTGAAATGTGAGTTAATGTTCTTTATTTTAAATATGTGAAATACCCAGGAGTATAACAGGAAGGGTGATCTATACAAATCAGAGTCAAGGAGGACTGAATTACCCAGAAATATAATGTCAGTATCTCCAAGTTTTATTATTTAATGTTCCCCTGTAGGAATGGAACACACTCATTCATTTATGCAAGAGTATTAGTTAATTCATACTTGATGTGGCAGCTATATAGAGCAGGGGTCCACAACCTCTGGCCATGGCCCACTACTGGGCTGTGGTCTATTTGGAACTGCCATGTGAATGGCAGGCTAGTGTGCATGCATGTGCGCAAAGCTTGACTTGCACAAGCGGTGGGCAGGCAGGCCTGCACAAGTTGAGCTGCATGCCCATGCGCACCCCCCCCACTTGCACAAGTTGAGCTGTGACTGAACCCGCATGCACGCCAACCCATCGCTCACACAGCCCGGTTCCCCTCTTGCCCCACTGCCGGGCTGCCAAGGTGCAAAGGTTGGGGGCTGCTGACCTAGAACATTTTCGAAGAGCAAGATAATATGCTTTGCTTACTTGGCTACTTCTAGGATCCCAACTCTTACTGTTGCCATAACTGAATCAAAACAATGGTGGTTGTTTTTAAAGTCATTCTCTTATGCCCAAAATTAATTAATAAGTGCTTTTCTTTAAATAGCATGATGAAGAACTCAAAATATTGAAAGTTAATGCAACAGTACATCCTCTCCACACCCGTGCTTTTAAGTTCCACAAACAATGGATTCACTTCACATCAGACATTTATTTTCAAAAGACCACATTCTAGTTTTCTCTGATAGATGGAATTCAGTGCTAAAATGTCATATTAGTTGTTTAAAATTTTAATCGGATGATTTCTCCAGAGAATTTTTTTACTGAATTATATGTGGTTAGCTTAATATGTATATACTATTGTTACAAGTATTGCTTATTTTTCCTCCTTTTATTGGGACCAGTGGTGGGTTGCCTCCGGTTCGGACTGGTTCACAAGAACCAGTAGTAAAACCGGTGGGGGGCTCCGCCCACTGAACCGGACGTCATCATAAGTGATCTGCGCATGCGCAGAAGAGCATATGGGCGCACGAGCGAAGTGAGCGTGCGCGCACAGGCGTGATGCGAACTGGTAGTAAAGCTAAGTAGAACCCACCCCTGGTTGGGACATAATACTCACACTTAATTATTTGACTATAAATCTTATTTTGTATTTTTTCTGCATCATTTTAACAATACCCTTTGGTTGTTTTGTTTCTTAGTCTGTAACTTGATATCTAATTTCCTGGGAATAAGCTCTGTTGAACTGACACCTTTATACTGTAGGTAGTGCCGTTAATATGTAAGAATATATTCCTTTTGGCTGATACGTATGTCTTGAGGTGCAGAGCAGTGGATTAGCCAAATTTTATAATAAAACTTTATACCATTCAATGGGATGAAAACAGTCTAAAAAGAGAACTAATTATAATTATTGCATGCCAATCTTCTCCATCATGGTACCCTTCATCCAGATTGGACTACAGCTTGCTAGCACGGCCAATGCTTCAGAACCAACTGAAGGAGCAGAGGTGGTGCAGTGGTTAGGGTGCAGTACTGCAGCTACTTCCCCTGACTGCTAGTTCAGCAGATCAGTGGATCAAATCTCACCGGCTCAAGGTTGACTCAGCCTTCCATCCTTCCGAGGTGGGTAAAATGAGGACCCAGATTGTTAGGGGGCAATATGCTATTTAGTATACTGTCTTTGGTGTAAGCCGCCCAGAATCCTCAGAGAGTGGGCGGCATAGAAATATGAATAATAAAATAAAATAAATAATAAACTGATGGCTTCAAGCTGGTGGTGGCTGCTGCCCATGTTTCTATTCAGGAACAGCAAAGATGTGTTGAAAGTCAGGAAGGTAAAATGAGGAAGCAATGTTGGAACATTTGCTTCTCTTCACAAATGGATGCATGGTATCCCATGGCTTCCTAGATTTTCTAAGCTCAAGATTCTTCCTCCTTTCTTGGATTGTCTGGGTAGATTTAAAGAAAATCCTCTTAAATATATTGTAGACTGAAGAGGCACCTTCCCCACTCCCCCTTCCCCCACCAGCGCCTTTTCTGTTTTGCATCAAAACATCTTTTCTTGTCTTATTATGGGTAATGGTAATGAGCAGTGAGGAAACAGCTTCATAGATGATAAAGGACATTATAGAAGTCTGGGAGTTAACTGTAAACTAAATTATGTTCAAATTATCAGCCTGGGGAATAGTCTCCTGCTGTGCTTTCTTTTTTCCCTGTTTTCCTATAAGATTTACAGTTTTGGTGCAGAAGAAAAACACAAATTGTTGCCTTAATTGTAAAGAAACAATTTTGTGTATACTTGAGCTGTTTTTTAAAGACTGTAATGGGGGGCTTGTACTTCTGGCTTCATTTGATAAGACAGCCCTTTGATGATCTCTTAAGTTTTCTTCATGAATAATGGGAGTATGTTATTTCTATTATCTTTGCACACCTGTTAAAGGGCTGCATGGTGAAAGAAGGCAGGCTCTAAATCCATTTCTAAGGCTTTGATGGGCTTAGTGGAGGAGTGAAATGGAGAAGGCATTCATACAGGTTCATAACCATTTTGTCCGAATTCCAAGAAATTGTAAAAAGGGTTTTGGCTGGAACGCCTTGGAACACCCTCTCAGTCCTCCTTTTGGGCTTTTGATCTAGTAATGGTTTTCAAACAATGGAGTGCATGGATCTGTGGTGAACTGCAGAATTACAGCAAGTGAGCCGTGATATAGAACAGAACAGAACAACAGAACAGAACAGAACAGAACAGAACAGAACAGAACAGAACAGAACAGAACAGAACAGAATTCTTTATTGGCCAAGTATGATTGGACACACAAGGAATTTGTCTTGGTGCATTTGCTCTCAGTGTACATAAAAGCAAAGTTACGTTCATCGAGAATCATAAGGTACAACACTTAATGATAGTCATAGGGTACAAATAAGCAATCAAATCATATTAGGAAACAGTCAATATAAATCATAAAGATACAAGCAACAAAGTTACAGTCGTACAGTCATTAGTGGAAGGAGATGGGTGATAGGAACAATATGCACCAAAGGTGGAAAACAAAACGTATTTTTTTTTCTTACTGGCAAAGTTTTGTTGAGTTAGGGAGAAGAATAGGAAGGAGAGGGGTTTGGCCTATGAGGGAGATTGGAAGGAGCAATATCAGCAATTTGGGGTGGTTCCCCATTCTTCATCCTGGCTTTTACTGGTATTTCTCTCCCTCCTAAGCACATATAATACATACATATTTTTGTTTTGTAAAGCTTCATACTTTATACCTGTCTGGGATTCTTCTAATCTATTCATTGATGTGATCCTTACAAAACCAGCACCAGTGCTCTATTATTTGTCACTTCTCTCCTGATGTAATAGTATGTGGGAATGGCCTTGGGAGAAAGGAGGAAGAGCCACAGACTAATGGGAGAATGAGCCCACAGAAAGAATGGGAGAATGGCAACTGAGCCCACAGAAGGAATGGACGAATGGCAAATGAATCAGGAGAAACTCTCCCTAGTTTCTTGGATTGTAAAGGGAGGGGGAGGAATATAATTTCAGACTTGCAAGATTCTGTTAATGTAACATTACAATAAAAGCAGAGCTAATTACTCCTGATAGTGATTCTTGACTGGACATCTCATAAGGCTGACACCTGAGTTTACTGCTTAGTCCTCTCTTTAGATTTCCTGTACATTTGAATACCTCTCAGCTCAGCTTCCAAGGCAATGGCAATGGCTTCTTTCATCCCCTTTCTCCTCTTGTGGAACTGGAAAGATGAAGAGAGATTCCAGTTCCTCCTCCATAGTCCCATTGCTGAAGGCTCCTGCATACAACCAGAACCCATAGGAGTTGTTGCTGTGGCTGTTTCTTCTTGCCTGCTGTGTCTCCAAGGAACAAACTAGGGAGAGTGTGGCTACTTCTCTAAACATGCCTAAAGAATAGAACAAGAAATTAGCAACAGTGGGGAGCAAGTGAATGAAAAAAAGAAGCATTACCATCCTTGTCAGTGTATAAGAATTTATGAACTGGAATAGCCATAACAAGTCAGCCAATGAGAACTGTTTGGTGACTGAGACACAGGATTTGTTGTGAGCCATGTGAGATGGCTAGGAGCCTGGGCATGGCTTAGCTTAACTCTTATGTGTATATAAGAGTTCGTTTGTCCTTCTCCTTGCTTCTACTTCTTGTCCTT